CAATTTGCATTTCCATGCAAAGAGTGGAAAAGACATGAATTAAAGCCCTGGGAATAGTTTCTTTAGTGCTCTCCTTATGCATGCAGGTAACTTAGGAGTTGCCTCAGCTCCTGCACACCAAACTACTCTTCACTACTATTTATTTATCCTGCCTATACAGAAGTTCCACAGTTTTCTGAAGAGAAAGGGTTTTCTACACATAAGACAACAAGTTTATTTTTATATCCTTCAACAACTGTATAGCAGCTTGCCCTTCTACCCAGGGAAAAGTTATCCTGAGTGATTTCACACTTGCCACTGGACAAAATAATAAAAACATGAGAGGTTTCTGTTAGTTGCCTCCTGTGTCTACTCACAGGGCCTTGTTGCTCTTCCCACAACATAAGTGGAGACATGAAATGTGATTTGTTAAAGTCACACTGGAATTAACTGAAAAATCCATAACTCACAAAAATGCAAACTCTCAGGATACTTATTTTATCCAGAACTAAGACAAGCTGTACAGTCATCTTTATACAGAAGTAGACTTGACAGTGATTAGATAATCTGTGTCAGGAAAAAGGAACAAACTCCCCTACAAATGCAATCTAGGGTTGGCTACAAAAACTATTTTTGTATCTTAAATACTGTGAAGCCACATCTACAGATCTTATGTCAACACAGCTGGTGATCCGCTTCCACCCTGAAACAGACAGGCAGTAATCCATTCTAATTTAATTTATATATTTTTAATACTTGTTTTTTTACTCTCCACAGGAAAAAAAAAAGGCTAGACTAAGCTCTAGAGGGAAGGGAAAAAAAAACATGTAGACTAAAATACATCATCATCTACTGAAATTTATAGCATTTCTATGTTCAAACATGCACATTACACAGACTGCAAATAGCTGGACCACATTATAGCTAATTGTACATACAGTTTGTTTTAGCTTCTCAATAGGGAGAACTAGTTTGAGCCAACGTAGTTGTAATTTACAGTTAATTTAGATTAAATCTAGCTAACTCAGATGAACACTTGTTAAAATGGAAATCTGATATTTTTTTCGGAGTTTTTAGAACTTTTGAAATTAGACGAATGAAAAATCACCACCAGACCAGGGAGGCTGGACTAGATGATCTCCAGGTCTCTTCTAAACCCTACCATTCTGTGATAAACATTATTTAAAAGCATCAAACAGGGTAATCATTGTTACTACAGCCCCTGAAAACAACTCAGCATCAAAGAAATACTACAAGAACAAAATATAATACTAATTTTTCATCAGAAATGAGAAATTGTTTTCAGTATATTTCAAGACATTTATTTGGTTTAACTGGCCATAATTTATATTAATTTCAGTGCCATTATTGCCAGTGTTATTCTAACTCCAGAAGAGTTTACAGGTAAGTAACATGAATATACACACACACACACACACCTCTAAAAAACAGAAAAAAAAAAAGTGCTGATACACTTACTCACTGGTTGTTCCAAATGACAGTATAAAATTAGCACCCTGCATTGCCAATCAGAGGAACAGTGGTTTGACAGAGAAGAAAGAGTTCTCATTTGCTTTGCTTACTCTGTCCAAGGGCTACAAGGTCAAAACAGCACAAGATCCATACAAAAGTCATACAATAGCCTCCATCTTTGGCAACTAAGGTCTACTTACATTGTAATTTGTTGAATCATTTCTTAAAGGTTTTTCAGACATTAAACCACAAATATTACAGGCAGATGTAACATTAAATTCTCCTACCTGGTGTTCTTCTGAATCTAAAAATAGTCACCTTGAGTAATTCCCCCTCCCCCTATATCTGCATATAATTAGCATCATTACCTCCTCTGATTGCTTTCATCTCCCCAACATCTTCTACAGGTAACTCTTAAAAAAAAAAAAAAAAGAGCAGCTATTGTTGGGACACTACTAATATAAGAAATGAATTGGGGAAGAGTGACCAAGAGCCATGCAGAATTCTTCTCCTTAGGAAGTACCTCTGTGCCCCTTTTCTACTGTCACTTTCCACCTGGGTGGCAAACCCAGGCAAGGTACAACGCCAAAGTATTGCTGTGGTCATCATATCTTTCTCAGCTAAGAAAAGGAAGTAAAAGCAGCTGCTTTTAATTATTGCTTATTAATTACTTTTCAGGAGATTTATTTACTGAACAACAAAATAACCTTCTTAGAAAAGGACAGACAGGGGGTTGGGCAGTGTTTGAGCTGATAATGTTTTCTCTAACACCAAAAAGTTACAGATTCCAGAATAGGAAACCAAAAGCCTCTTACTTGCCTGGAAAGCAAAAAAGGATGGCTGTAGACAGAAGTTAAAGTGTAGATGCTTTTATTTTAAGTGAGATATGTATGCATAGAAGCTAACCTGGAAAAACCATAACGATTTAGGGTTCTGTATAACATGCAGCATTGCTACTCAACAAATGCAGTCGCCCCCCAGACCTATCAGGGCATATGAAGACACGTCAGCAGAAAGACAGAAAAAGCTATAGACAAAATTTGCATTCAAATGTAACTAGTTGTACTGGTTTCTGCTGGATAGAGTTAATTTTTTTCATAGTAGCTGGTAGGGGGCTGTGTTTTGGATTTGTGATCAAAACAGCGTTGATAACACAGGGATGTTTTAGTTATTGTTGAACAGTGTCTGCAGAACTGACAGAGAAACAAAGTCAAGGCCTTCGGTTTCTCACTCTGCCCCACTAGCAAGCAGGCTGCAGGTGCACGAGAAGCTGGGAGGGGGCACAGCTGACCCCAGCTGACCGAAGGTATATTCCCCAACATGTGACATTATGCTCAGCAGTAAAGCTACAGCAATTAAGCAGGAACAGGAGATGCTCAGAGTTATGGAATCTGTCTTCCCAAGTAACTGTTAAGTATAGTGAAGCCCAGCTTTCCTGGGGATGGCTAAACATCAGCCTGTTGATGGGAAGCAGTAAATGAATCCCTCAGTTTGCTCTGCTTACATGTGTGGCTTTTGCCTTATCTGCTGAACTCTCTTTATCCCAATCCACAAGTTTCCACACTTTTACCCTTCTGAGTCTCTCCTGTCCCACTGGGGAAAGTAAGCAAGCGGCTGGGTGGGACTGTGCTGCCTACCATGCTCAAGTCTGTGGTTTAACTGGTCTCTTAAAAAAAAGAAAGCCAACAAAATCTCTCACACACATTTCAAGTTAGCCAGATCTATTATTTTTAATAATGCTTGGCACTGAAAAACTATGCTACTACCTGGTTTGTTTTGGTGGTGGTGGTGGTTTGGTTTTTTCTTTGTGTGTGTGGGTTTTTTTTTTTTTTTTTTCTTCACTGTTTTAATTTTTATTTTACTTGGTACTAGATGAATGGAAATAATTCTAAGAACTAAAACATCTTTTGAATTATTGAGATTGGGGGGTGGGGGTGCTGCATAATTATGTCTATGTTAAAGTGACTTAATGTTTAGAGGAAGTAATTTCTTAGTAGTAAGAAAATAAACCCAAACATCCTATTCATTTCAAAGTGCTTTTATAAATTTGTCTTGGAATAACCTTGTGCCCCTCCACATTACTATAAAATACAATAGTTAGCATAACATGTCAGCATTTAGGAATGCTATTTTTTCCTTACTCAGTCCACCAGACTACATCTATGAACATTTTGGTTTCTGCTACAGTGCCACCTCCAACACTGATTCACTTTACATTGACACAATTTCTCATTTTTCTTTGAGCTCCACAGCCTGAGCACATTTCGTTTAAGATGAAGTGCTTTATGTTGAGCTAGTCACTCATTAAGGTACTTGTAAAGACTAAGTCAACTGCTTTCAACTGCAAAGTGCCTGAGCAAATTCATGGTAAAACAATGTAAATGTTAGCACAACCAAATGCAGAGGAACACATCTAGGAAGAAGGGCCACACCCACAAAGTAGAAGATTGTATTCTTTTAAGTGGTGGCTCTAAAAGAGATACCAGTATGAAAGAGATGAGCAACTCAGTATAACCTCCCCATGCAATGCTGCAGGCATCAATGCAATCTTTCACTCTGTCAGGCTTCTCTACACCAGAACAGCAACACCTAACCTGACTGACAGCTGATGTACACAGGAGCAATGCACATGTTTTACAGACAAGTCACAAGACCAAAGATACTGCAAAAAAGCTTTTTTTTTTTTAGGGTAAGAAAAGTGTCTTAGGTCAGACAGATAGAATAGATATAATTTAATAATCAAGAGGACAATTAGCCATAGAATTTTTGCAAGCAGAAAACAGTATGCACTGTAGAGCTCTCTGATCTGGGAGAAAGGCCTGTCAATTGAAAGTGGAAGCCAGACTTCTTAGCATAAAAATTAAATTCCTATTAGCAATAAGACACTGGAAAAAACTATTAGATATATGTCAGAAGTTGAAGAAGCCAGTCTTCAAATCAAACTCCATTTTTCTTAAAAATATAGATAACGAAACAGCAGTTACTGAAGTCAAAGAAAAAAAAAAAAAAAAAACACAACCTAGAGAAAATGAAAATAACTTATGAAATAAAATTCTGATCTCACAACAGGATGGTTCCTGCTATGAGAAAACAGGAAAACAAAAAGACCCCAAACCCCTAGCCTGAAGACATTTGCTTCCCCTCCATCTTGTGTGGCTTTGGCTGCATCCAGGTGCACACTCTCCTCCCTCTCTCTCTTCTCTGCTAATGTTAGCAATATAGTTTTACTACAATACACTACGGTACGCTGGTTTTCCCAATGGACTCACACAGCATTTGGAAGATTTTTATGGTTACAGTCTGGAAAGAATAAAAATGTTCTACTTCTGAATGAGTTAAGAAAACTAACTTTCCCAGCAGTGACAGTATCTAAACAGTAACATGTAGCATTAATAGTCAACAAAAGTGTTCCCTAATGAAAACACAGTTACTTCAATTAGTGTTTTTATGAGGGCTCAAAAGTATAGCACAGTACAATTAAAGAGTGCAAGGAGTTAAGTCAACGAAACATGCCATGAATACTGTGCCTGAAAAAACAGAAGACATACCTGATTACTGCTTGTTGCAGCAGAGTTGGTCTGAGCTGTATTTGAAGAAAGGGAATCAAAAAAGGCTTGGTCAGCTAATGAGTTACCGCAGCTAATTCCATCTTTTGCACCTTCAGTTATAATCTGAAATGGAAAAGTTGCAAAAGATTTTTCATGCTTCCATTAAACATAGGATATATGATTTGATTATCATATATAATCATCCTAACATTCATGTCATTAGACTTTAAGATGGTTGCACACACCCTTTTTGAACTCAGATTCCACAGACCCTTTCACAACAAACTGATGTGATAATCTGGAGGATTTGCTTCCCCAATAGATGGAATTGGTTTGCATTGTAACAGTGTAACATATAAGACTTGTAGCAGTGGACACCTATCTATAAATTCATTAGGTATTAACAAGGTTGTTAACAACTACTTGGAGACTGGGAACTCAATACTCAAAGGATCAGCTTGGGACAGCAAGCTGGGAGAGCTAACAGCTACTAGACCACAAGCTAGCCTACTGAAGGCAAAAATAAGGTCATTGAGTCAGCATTGTTCTCCCTCCCCCTTTTGTTGTTTTTTTAAACAAACACAACATCGGTGAAGGAAGGGAGGCAGGCACTTGCCTTAAGAGGAGGCTGTGGAAAATACTTATATGGCAACCTGCAAACATACAAAACACTCAGCCCTCCAGGAGTGAATTGGATTCCAGTCTTTCCACTGAGATCCCAATTCCACCCCTAACCCAATACCAGCAGCCTTTAAACAAAGAGCAGATCAACACACACTGAAAAGACAGCAAAGGTCCCCAGGAGGAAGATAAGCTGAGCAGTTCCTGGATTTGGGATCCCATATCCCAGGTGCCAGAGACGTGGTTCCATTCCAGAGACTTATTAGCCTGTGGCAAAATCAGCCACAGCCACACCTGTGTAAACTTGCATTACTCATTTCACTTCTATATCTGGATCTTGATAGGAAAACAAAACAATTATTGGCTCATGAGACCCCCAAAACAGAAGCAGACTCCAAATAGCTCACATTCTGCAGATCACCAGTATTTACTGTAGACAACCTGCTGTTACCTTTCTTGGGAAACCAGTAAGAAGCACAGTAGCTTCAGGCTTTAACATTGGAATTTTTATGTTTGGGTATTACAGTCTGATCAGCAAACCAGAGGATGGCCTTTTCAGTAGTTCTGCTTTCTTAGTGCAGAGCAGTGTGGTCACTCACCTCAACATAATCCGTTGGAACAAGTCCTCTCTCACCTTGGCTGTTTTTTCCTTCTAACCAGCCTCCACCAACATTCTAAAAGAAGTAGCAATATAGAAGCAGTTTTACTAGACAGATCCCACAGCATACTTAAAACAGCTCAGGAGGAAGCACTGCCTTACTGTCAAATGCAAAGTTTGAGATGTAGTTATGACTGTACAATACGAACAAACTCAAATCTGCTGAAACAGCAGATACTCACTTAAACAGAATACAGACCACGCCTGTTTCACAAAACTATTACTATTGTGGACTTCAGATTTAACAAGGATTAGGGAGAAAAAGGATGATTTTCAGCACTTTTGATCACGCATGAAACTACAGTCAATTGGACCAATTGCATCAAAACACAGCTATTAGTATGCCAATTCTCCAAAGCATCAGTTTTAATCAACATGTTATAAAGAAACAAGACTCAAGTAATTAAGCTGTTGGTAATATCTGTAAAATCTCTGTTTCACTTATTGATGGTGCAGAGGTGTGTGATGAGTGGGAGCTATAAACCACAAGAATATTAAGGATAATCTTGAGATTAAGAGAGGCATATGCTATTCAAGATAGGAGACACTTTCTAGTTTAATAGCATGCCACTTGCCTCTGAAATGAAATGTAGTTTGGAAAGAAGCAACAGTTCAGCTCTGATCTCAGTGGGGTATCCTGTTACTGTCTGTTGGGTTTTGTTTGTTTGTTTATTAAAAAAAACACACCACAAACATTCTAGGTATACTAAGAAACCTTTGCAGCCCTTTGCAGTTAAGCAGTCAGTATCAGGGCAACAATTTCTGGAGAAGCCCGTTTTGTTTTATATCAAGCTGCTCCTTGAACACATAATTACACGTCAAGGTAACTCACAGCTGAAAATTTGAGCCACATATGCTGCACAACAATTACTAAATTCCAAGATTTCTTAGTTTGCTTCTTAAAGGCTGTTTACTCACAATTTCTTTCTTTCACTTGGAAATTTTATGTAATCCTGCACATAGTAAGAAGTCTGCTTATGTGTTCAAGATTTTAAAAAGCAAAGCTCAATCCGTTAATTTCAGTAACAAACTTTCATTTGCCTATCTTTGGTACCTAAAAGCTTACACTCAGGAACACAACCATCTCAGATTATAAATTCAACTAACATGGTTAAACCACAAAAGCAATGAGATCTTGAGCCAGAAGTCACATTTGCACCACTGTGCTGAAGACCAACCATCAGCACACTTTCATGACTTACACTACTGCTGTCAAAACTTACGTATGAAAAATAAAAAAGAAGAACCTCTGTAGCAATCTATCCCACAGTTTAATCATGGACATCAGCATAAAATAGTTTTACTTGGTTTTAACTATATTGCCTTAAAACACAGAAGTCTTGTTCAGTGAGAACCACCATAAAAGTGGCAAACTATTTAGTCCTATGTTGTGTATGTTTGTGAAACAGCATTAAACTCCCAAATTAATTTAAAATGTTACCTCTGCCACAGCATAGCATCCTACACAAGAGAGTGCTGGTTCTATTAAATATCTGCTTCAAATATTTAAGGTCAGTGGAACTAAAAATTATCAAGATTATACATTACTAGCCTCTTCCAAGAATTATTTCATTCTGCAGAAGCTGTATTTCCTACACAACTAGATATATAAAATCTGGTATCAAGATAAGGCATTTTTCATTTGTATGCATTTTTAAAAGAAAAGTCTCTTTGCTGAGCCCTATCACAACAAAAATCAAAAGTAGAACCAACTAACACATCTTACTACTAATGCTAAGAATTATATAGTACAATGAGTTCACTCAAATTTGAACTATATACACAAATCAAATGTCAGTGTCTAAAGTACTATTAATTTAAGAACTCCCTTGATAGCATCCACCACGCCTATCCTGTACTTTGTCTATAGTGCTTTCATTAGGAAAGGACACAAAGGTTATTAAGAAATTTTGTCACAAGTTCTTTGAATAAACTTGGAATGCTGACGTCATTGATTAAAAAAATCTCAAAACCAGGAAGGGAGCTGGCATGCCTTATTCAAATTCAAGTGTAAAGCACCTGAATGATTCCATACACATAAAATGTGGTACATTAGGCACACAAACTCCAACACATTCAGATCTCAATGGTATCACCATCATTCGCTCCTTACTCTGCCTTGCCACTCAGCTGCTTATAGAGGGGAACAAAGCTGAGCAAATTCCCAAGTCTGTAGGCACAACCTGAGATGGCCCCGTCCGCCAAAACTGCTCATCGCATTTGTTCCTACAGAACTATTAAAAAATTCTTGGTATATAATTTATTTGCTAATTCTTCAGGGATGGGTAGCCAAGGCTTTTAGATGACACCTAGGACCTTTTCTCTTCCATCTCAGGAAAGTGCATTGCAGTCTTGATTTCAGATCCATTTTCTTACCGGGTTGGTAATCACAATGATCTCCCCTTCACTGACGGTCAGCTCATTGTTTCCAGGCTCAGCAGCAAAATCATACATAACACGAGCCTGTATGTGAAAAAGAGCATAGCAGTGAGTTTTCCAGCTTACTTAGAAGATTTCATTAAGGAAGTATCATCAGGACTTACTCTTTCTGCTGCTTAAGAATAAGTGGGGTAAGGCTGGATGTACAAAGAGCAACTGAGCACGTAGGAAGCTAACACTTCCTAAAATTGACCTCCAAACAAAATGCTAACGCAAGCTTTACATGATTAAAATCTCCTGCAGAGCTCATTAGAGTTTATAGTTATTTTCCACAAGGATTCACAGTTTAAGACTGGCTGTTCTCTCCACGGTGAGAACTATCTGTCCAACTTTTTCAAGAAGAAGGAGGCAAGGCTTCTAACATCAGCAAATAATCCAATTAATGTTTTTTCTACAAGACATACTCCAACTCCAATTCGAGTAGAGGGAACTGTTTCACAGAATAAGTAATTCAGAAAAACAAGTAAATGCACATGTAAGGAACCACTGTTGCACATAAGTAACATGTAAAATTATGTTTTGAGATCCTGTGTATACAGGATGAACTATGCAAATACACAAACAGCAAGAGTAGGCCTCTTACATATTTGCACCAGGCGGGAAGGAAAACCAAAGGTAAATCTAATTTTTAAATGTTTAGACACATGAAGGTTTTCCTGTGTACTGACTCTGCTAGTACAGTACAAAAGGAAATGTTATGTTTGAAACATTAACAAAGTTGTTTAATATTTAAAAACAGTTCTGCTTCTTTATACAAAGAATTGTGACATGGCCAAAGATCATATTCCCAAACATCTTTTTATTGTCTTCTATTAAATTCCTTTCCAATCTAAAAGTAGAGAAAGCTCTCAAGAATTACAAAAGGAGTATATTTATTTTCTCACAAACTGTTGAAATGGATGCAGAGAAAGCCCACATACTTTCCTCTTGGCTCTTAAAGGCACACCTAGAATCAAAGTTTTAGTTTTCCATTTAAAGTGGAAAAGTCTCTTCCCTGGAAAGAAAACTCATCCCTCTAGTAGAACTTGTTAAAGATAAAAACCTTATTATTTACACCTCAAGTTTTTATGACAGCCAGGTGCCCCAGAAGTAATTAATACATTATTTTGTCTGATTGATGCCAATGTTGAAGCATCAAAGAGCAGCAAAAGTGAAAACTAGAGTACAAGTCAGGAAGGGCAAATAGAAAAAGTACAAGTTTTAACAGACAGTACAGACAGTTATAACAAAAACATCAATACTCAATACAGATCATATCATAGCTCTTATTTCTCCATCTTGTACAGGATTAAAAGCAGCAGAAAGTTTATTTCAGGACACACACCTATTTCCCTATTACATCTTGACTGAGGCAAAGTCTCATCTTTACCAGGACATATGCTTTAGTTACCTCAGGTTGTACAGAAGTAGGCTTTGTTCCTGCAGATTAAATAACTAAATCCAAGAAAAACAATTTTATAGTGGTGTTACTAATAACACAGACACTCTGTACAGCAGTGAGGTCCTTCTTGTACTTGAGAAGTCAAGGGAAGAAAAAAGAAACCGACACCCAAATGTTTCTGTGACTAAAATGACACGAAACTCATGATTTCTGTTGAAAGCAAGTTATGTGATAAGCAAAAAAAAACCCAGAAACCTCATCAGACAGATATTCATTATCAAGCTTTACCTGTCTCAAAATTGCAGGTGGTTCTGATCCCCAGCTAGACATCCCTTGTCCTGACACAGAACCAGAAAAAACATAGCTTCCCTCCCCTACATTTTGTTTTCCCCGAGTACCATGTGGAAATACTTCTGGCTGATTGAGATCCTTTACTTCAGCATATATAAAAACACAGCAGAGAAAAAATGCTTATGTTGTAGTTCAGCTGACAAAGCTAACCCTGAAGCATGTGAACAAAAAAAAAAAAAAAAACAAACAAAAACAAAACACAACCACAATCAGAACACTTGGTTTTTTCCAGTAGGGAAGCATAACATCACAGAAAAGTTCCAGGCACTCTGAATGCTTCCTTGCGTGGAAGCTTCTCCTTTAGAAATGACCCTTTTGGCACTTTCATCTTGGTTTTGCATGACATAATCTGAAGAGGAGAAAAATGTTTTCAGTAACACTGACTGCCTGCCTTCCAGCAGAAAATCAGGCCTCCATGCAAACACAATAAGCTGCCTTACTTTCCTTAAAAAGTAAACTGAAGAGAAGCAGCCTCTCTCTTGAAATACAAGAACAGTTTTAGTAGGGGTGTAAAAAGCCCCAGCCTCTGCGTCTCTTCCCTCAGCAGTAGTAGATGAAGGTGTTGAACATCTCCTTTTTGCAGCAGGTTACAAATACTTAACCAGTCCTCCAAGCCAATCTAACAATGCTAGGCAGCTATGGAGGAAAGCAGCTTCTTGGCCCTCTTCAAGTAGCACACTGTAGTATTAAGTTCTTGCTTTTATTCACATGAATGATGAAAATTCACCAGGACAAGGGCAGATTTTACCAGCCTTCATGAAAACTGGCTGTATGGGGTCTGTCTGAGCTGATTTCCCCATAGCAGCCCTCCTGGTGCAGTGCCTTTGTGTTGGGAGTTCGAAGGGTGCTGGTAACACCCATGTTGTGCCTACCCCTGAGCAATGCTTGCACAGCACCAAGGCACTTTCTAGCACTCCTCCCTCAGTGGGACTGGGGGAGCAGGAGGCTGGGGGGAACATAACCAGGCTACTGGCCAAAGGGATATTCCATACCATGTGACATCAGCTCACCTACGAAGCTGGTACAAAGTGGGAGACAGGGCTGCTCTTTGGTCCTCCCGAGCAACCGCTAAATATTTTGGAGCCCTGCTTCCCAGGAAAGGCCAGACATCACCTGGGGATGGGAAAGAGAGAATAAACCTTTGGGTTTTTTCTCTTCGCTCCCGCACACGGCATTGCCTGCCTTTGCTTTCCAATTAAACTGCCTTTGTTTCTACCCACAAGGGGTTTTGTCTCCAGCTTATATTCCTTCCCCCATTTGCTCTGTGGAGGAGGGAGAGGAAAGGGGGATAGTGATAGAGAATCAAGTTCCTCAGAAAAATCTGAAAATATTCAGCTTGTACGAAAGGAAAGGTCAAGACAGATATACAGGATTTAACGAAGTCATTATGCCAAAGCCTATCTATTCACCTGCTCCATATGCCCATTTCAAAGTTGTTAAAAAAGTAAAAAAACAAAACCCCACACACACAATAATTTGTCTTACTGCAGTTTAAGAAAATGAAAATTAAAAAAAACATCTGCAATACAATAGAAATGGATTACTACAGAGCACTACGTATTTGAGGTACATCTGTAACCTAATCCACACACTGACACTTCAAAGACATTTTCCAAATATTTTTGCTGGTACTCTCCATTACAGTTGCATCGCTGGGCTCATCTGCCTAGTTTGGGAATTAAGTCCTTAAGAACTTCTAGCAAGTAAGCTTTAGTGCTGTCCTCCTACTGTCGAGATTTAATGGGAAAACCAGCAGAAACTCAATCAATTCCAAAGTAAGTGAAACTGTCTTAAATGTTTTCCCTCAATTTAATAAGTGCATTGTTAACAAAGGCACACCCTCTAGCCTTTCCGTGGGCAGAGGCACCAACCCAACCCTATTTAAATTTTTGACAATCAGTTCTAAGATACTGCAGAAAGGAAAACTGTTTGGTTTTTCAACAAACTTTTTCCTACTTACTGGCCACAAATATTATATCCAAGTAGCAGTTATGGCTCCGAGTTAGATCTTTGCCACTTATGCAAGACAAGATATGGGCATGGAGAGAAGAAAGCATTTAAGAAGAAAACTATTTTAGCTCCTGGGCATCACAGTACATGCATCGAATATTAGGCCTAAACTTATGGATATTTTGAATATTGAAAATGTCGATCTCTGATGAATCCCACAGATCACAGAATGAACACCACAAAGGCAACATCTTCAAAACACAGGTTTTAAAAAAAGAATCCAAGACTTGTTACAATAACTGTTGTTTTTCATATTTACTTCTGATCACATACATACATACAAAAGGATCAAACAATCCAAGAACTACAGAAACGTCAGAGATCCAAATATTCCATTAGTGGAATAAAGGCCATTGATTCATTTACAGGATGCTGCAAATACACAAAACAAGTCAGACTTGTTAATCTATCTATTTGCTATAAGAAAATCAGTTTCTTTTACTGGCTGCACATCTCTCTCCCCCCTCCCCATCCCAAGATACAACTGGTTCTGGATTCTAAAGGGATTTTTCAGATCCTTTGAGAAAACTGGCTGCTAGCCCCAAAAGTTTAAACAGATTTCACTCATCTGAAAGCAGACCTGATCACTGTAGTGCATACCTACTGCCTGCCTTTGCTCAGGTGGCAGCAGAGCTTCCCACACCTCCACCGGGAGTTTGTAACCTGCCCCAACATTGCTCCCTGGTGTGAGAAAAGGCCTGCGCAGATTAAGTGGGAACTTGACACAACGCATGCCAAGGAGGAAAGGGCTGTCTGATGGCCAGAAGCTCTGATGTTGCAGTTTCTCTTAAGTAAGAAGAAGCCAGTAGTCTTTCCTACAAGTTGAGGTCAGTGAGAAATCAGTATGAATTTCTCCTTATTAAAAGAGTAGTTACACAACTGGACTGTAGTTTCCTCACACATTTACTGACTCACTACAATGTGAAGCCTCTCAACTTCTAGAAATTTTAGCATTGCAGTTAATTACTAGTACTGTGTTTTTGTGATATGATAATAATAATCATGCTTATGCATATTAAAACACAAAAGGTTCTGCACATTAAAAAGTAGTACTTACATTAGCAAAAATATCATTCCTCTGCAGACCTGAAGCAGATTTAGCCTTTCTCTATTACTTACTTCTAGTACCTCCCTGGCCTTTTCTAATAAAAACCAAGAGGAAAAAAATAAAAAAACTGAGAGCATTTGCCAACTTATCTCTGCAAACAGCCCTAAGACTACACAACTGTAACTGTCACTCATGGCATAAACTAAGTGGAAAGGAAGTTATCTAGAAAA